GAGGAGGAATGACTACACTGGACATCACTGGACAACTCCTGAAGAACCGTATTACTCTCACGAGAAGAAGCTAATAGAGAGGATGGAGAAGGATGATCCGAAACGATCTTATTCTGTGATGAGTAGACAAGTCGACATACGATCAGTTGGTTTTATGAAGTACAAGTATGGGTCCGTGGACATACGTCGGTTTCCTCTCCATCGCTCGTGCAAGTTCTTGACAGTGGACGGGTCTGGAGGCTCTAAAGTTGACATGAGTTCAGACAATAAGTTTTTGGATCCTAATCAAGCCGAGTTTCCACTTGCAAGCCACTTTGGTCAGGTATATCTATCCACTCTCTATTGCCTTCCTTTAACGAGGAAGTTGGTTCTGTTGCAGCCTTTGCCTGAGGAGGCTGGCCAATTAGCATCTCTCAATCTTTCATTCAATTTGCCTAATGGAGGCTCTCTAACAAAGACAGAGCTAATTGTTATTTCAATGTCTCACGAGATTGCTGATGAAGTTTTAAATTGTTCAGGTGCAACAAATCGTATCAATCTTGTCATGGAAACCGTGTCTGAGGCCCCAGAGTTGTTCTTAACTAGTTACTCTGAAATACTGAGAGGAATGGAACTGGTCAAACGAGAATTGAAAGCTCGTAAGAAGCGTTCAAGCAACAGTGTCTTGAAGAGGTCTTGCCAGCAGGTTGAGAGAATTTGCAGTCAAATTACTTCCATGGTCTCTCAAGCTAGTGGGATTAATCCCCGCGGGTTGCCATGGCTACCAAGGTTTATTCAATTGGTTGATTCTGATCGGTTTCATTTTTCTCACCAGCACACCACTAAGGATGAGTGCTTCAACTTGACTGGAGAATGAATTTCGTAACATTAATATTATAAATATTTGATTTTAATTGTCTTTATTGTGAGTATTGCATTTAAAAATTTGTTCTTGTTTTCTTTATAATGATAATTATAATTATGCTTATATACATACATAATCATTATTATATTATTATAGTTTTCATTGTTTGAGTCTTGGCACCCATTTTTATTATATTTCCTGTGCATATTGATGCCCTTATGCTGTGCAGAAAAATTGAGGTGATTCCAATTTCTATTTCAAGTGAAGGCCAATTTTAAAAAATGCTAAAATCTGTAAATTACTCAAGTATAGCCTTGGCATTTACTGGAAAATGGCTTAGAAATCATCCCAAATTTTTATTACATTTTTTGATACACACTGATGTCCTTATGCTGTGTAGAAAGTTTGAGGTGATTTTGACTACCTGAGCTAAGGGCAGTTACCTCGGCAGTTACAAAAAAACGAGCTTCTTATATTCGGCTACAAATAGGGCGTCATTTTATTATTAAAATTAATTATTAATTTTTTAATTAATTAGTTATTAATAGTGTTTTTCAGAGTTAATTATTATGGGTGTGGTTGGACTGAGTTTAGTTGTGTAGGAGTTTCATTCTTTGCCTCCTTCTCTCCAGATACATTATGGCTACTCAGGCCCCGCCAGTCCTCACACTGCAGGAAGGATGCGTGCAAAACTTCAGCGGTTACTTGGAGAGACAGTCCAGCATATTCAAGAGGTGGAAAAAGAGATGGATAATCATTACTCCTGGTAAGTAGACTAAGTACATGGAGTAATACTGCATTAGTATGATTAGTACTGGCTAGACTTTGATTTCCAATGTACTAAGCAACTGCATTAAGAACACAGCACAAGGGTTACTGGTCTTATGTTGTACTACTTGAACCTAGCTTTATTTTTCTTTTTTTTTTACTGACTACATTGATCAAATGCACATTGTATTTTCATTCTTAGAATTATGCACTTCCTACTACTGTACTGATTTGCATGATTTAAAGCCCGAGCATTTATTATTTAACAGAGAAAAAATTGCATAAAAATTTCAAGCAAACTAAAGCCTGTAGGCTACCTAAACTAGGTAAAATACGTGTATCTATAGTGAGAATGTTTTAAGGATGGGCATTTATTTGAGCTGGGCTTCTAATCAGGCAAATACGGTACTTGAACTTTATTAATCTATCTATTGTTACATAAAGTGTAAAGTGTAAAGTGCAAATATTTTGTAGCATGAG